AGCAAATGGCAGCTGCTAGAAGAGGCGACAAAACTCCATCATCATTTGGAGAATTTCATGCTGGATGGCAGCCAAACAGAACAATGTAAAAGAGAGGTGGAAGAACGAGATGAGCAGGAAATAACACAAAAACTACAAGAAGTCAATCAGTTTTTGCAAGTAAGTGAATTTCTCACCAGTGTCCACGGGCGCTCCGTAAACTTCTGCTGTGGCCATGATTTCTGGTATTTTCCTTCCCTCCTGCATTCTGTGTGTTAGTGCTGCACTTCTGTCTGTGCTGGAGGCAGTGGGAGAAGGGCAGATGGTTGGGCAGCAGTGCTGGGTGTGTGATGTGCCAGCAGGTCCCTGAATCCAAAGCCTGCCCAAGGCACATTCCCAATTGGCAGTGCCTGGGGGGGATCTCTGTCCCCTGCTCTGGTTCTGGCTGCTCATCCTCCAATGGCTTTGGCAACTTGCAGCTGTCATGGCCAGACATTGGGGTGCGGCTTTGTCCTTGTAGGGGGAAAGTGCTCAGAAAAGGAGTCCCTGAAATGATAGGGGTGGGGTGAGGGGGGTGCAGTTGGGGATGCTCTGATTGTCTTTGAAGCATCCTTTTTGATATGCCCTGTCCTGCACATACAGTGTCTTTCCATTGGTAGCTTTGACTAAGAGTGCTGATTTGGCTTCTTTCTGAATGAGAAGAATTATTTAGCCTGGTAGCTCCTGGGTTCTGCCTTGATTGCTGCTGCTTGGGAGGAGGCACAGCCGCCTCTGTGAGCAGAGCCCTGAACTTGGGTCCATGCAATTTTCTGCTGGGGAGAGCTCTCTTTTTCTTGTGGTGGTTGAAGGTGCACTGTCTCCTTCAGGCACAGGCAGCCCACCAGCATGAATTTGGACAAATTGGAGACAGGAGTTGTGATTCAGTGAGACACCAGCTGGAAGAAAGAATTAGAGATCTCGAGAGTGAATTGGACAGGGTTAAAAAAAGCCAACCAGAGTGTGCCTGTTGTAAAGAGGCAACGCAGGGAGAAATGGAAATGTACAAAGAGCTGTACCTGCAGGAAGTGAGAACCAGAAAATGCCTCACAAAGGAAGTGCAAAGGTAAGTCCACGCTTTTTTTGGAGTGTTAATAAGAGACTCCTTTTTCTTCATGCATTTTCCTTCTAAATCCATCTTTTACTTCTCGCCAGCATTATTGCCCTACATAGGCCAACAGGGTCTGTGTAGTTGCCCAGACACTCTTCTTGATACTTGAAAAATGACAGACATGTGAAGTCCCAGGTGGTGGGAAAAAGGGAAACACACTGTACCCATCTTTAAAATGGGTAGAAAGGAGGGCCCTGCTAACTGCCAACCTGTCAGGCTGCCCTCTGTGCCTGGGAAGGTCATGGAAAAGATCCTTCTAGAAGCTCTGTCAAGGCCCAGGGATGACAGGGAGGTGATTCGAGACACCAGCCCAGCTTCACCAAGGGCAAGTCCTGCTTGACCAGCCTCGTGGCCTTCTATGATGGAGCGACTGCATCAGTGGCCAAGGGCTCCAGATGTCCTTTCCCTGTAATTCTGGAAAGCCTTTGGCACAGTCCCCCACAACATCCTTCTCTCCAAGCTGGAGAGAGGTGGATTCCATGCGTGGACTGTTAGATGGATTAAGAAACTGGGTGACCAGTCCCATCCAGGGGTGGCGATCAATGGCTCAGAGTCCTGAGGGACAGCAGTGCCATCAGAGTGGGGTCTGTGTTGGGACCAGTGTTATTTCCTATCTTCACTAAGGAGACAGATGAAGGGATGGAGTGCACCCTCAGCGCATTTGCAGCTGACCCCCAGCTGAGGGGTGTGGTTGACACACCTGATGCCATCCAGAGGGACCTGGTCAAGCTGGAGAAGTGGGCCCATGGCAATGTCCTGAGGTTTAACAAGAGCCAGTGCAAGATGCTGCCCGTGGCTCAGGGCAGCCCCTGTATCGATGCAGGCTGGGGGATGGACAGAGGGAGAGCAGCCCTGCCCAGCAGCACCTGGGCTGGATGAGGGGCTGGACAGGACCCGGCAATGTGCGCTCGCAG